TTGGTTTATTTGAGGCGGTTGAGTAGCAGGCTAGTTGGCTTAGGGCTTAGCCTGCTGTGTATGGGCACTTAACATGTTTTCTGAAGGGTAGGGGTTGGTTATGCTGTTTGTCTTGGCCGGGTTCTTATGGAAAGAAAGAAAAATGTTAATAGTAAAATCCTACTTCATCGTTATGCGCACCAGAAAATGGAGGTGGTAAAAATGGGAGCGGAGGTAAAATTATGTAAAGTTAATTGGGCAAATTCTAGTTAATTGTTTATTATGTCCTGAAACCATTGACTGAATAACACCTTAGTGGGTAGGTTGGGGACCAAGACATTCAATATCCATCCGATGATAGCATAAGGCCTGGCAAGGCACAGACAGGTCCCACAGGACGGGTAGGGGGACTCCTACCGGAGCCTACGGCAATGCTGAGGATTTCCCTCCCCCCCCCTTTCCCCACCCAGGCACTACATGCATCCAGTGACGCGGTTAAGAGGGTGATAGCGCTACACCATCGTGATGTCTTATTTAAGAGGAACGTATGCACGATCTTAATGATATGGCCCTGAGGTAGGAACCAAATGCCAGATATAGTTTCAGTATAACCAAGCCCTGTCTATATGGGCCCGGAGCGAGAAGAGCCGCAGATGTGGGCGGGTTGCTGGTTTCACGGAGGTTGGTAGATTAAGAGACCAAATAGGGAAGGGGATATCCATGGTTACAAGGACTGTAGAATTAAGATGTGCTATGTCCGATCAATGATTTGATGTATAAATGTACGACCAATGACTGATGTTACTGTACAATATCCATGGGGACATGCTTTTATGGGGAATTAGATTATTATGCCTTATGGTCCTATACGGAATTATAGTCCTTGCTTGTAAGCATGTTGGGGACAAGTTATGCACGTTTTGGTGGAATGCGCTATGTATAACTAAGCATTTTCAGTACTGTACATTATTCATGGGGCTAAACATTAATGCACTAATTACATAGGGTGGTAGTGTTATGTATGCTTAGAAGGCACATGGTTGTTAGTCCATCAATAATATAAGTTGATGGAATTTGTTACTCAGAGAGTAGTTTAGGATTAGAATTTCAGCTTTGGGTGTTGGCGGCAGAACTAGGTGTTCTCTCTCTGATGTCCTGGGGAGCGGGTGTGTCTCCTTTTCTGGTTTACAAGACCAGGGTAATGGGTTATACTACAAGGACCTTACCATTTAAGTAGTTTGTTTTCGATTAGGGCTGAGAGGGGAATTAGGGTAGTGATAATAAGAAAATATATGATAGATGCAATTTGGCCAATGATAATAAATGGATATTCAACTGGTTGACCTCCGATTCATGTAAGTGTAAGTAGGTTGGCTGTTAATATTCAGAATATGATTTGGGTAATTGGTCGAAATGTCATACTTTGTTGGTTTGACAGGTGCGTGGTTGGAATGATTATAAGGACTAGGATGGAGAGTACAAGGGCTAGTACGCCCCCGAGTTTATTAGGGATAGACCGTAGGATTGCGTATGCGAATAGGAAGTATCATTCTGGTTTAATATGGGGAGGGGTACTGAGAGGGTTTGCTAGTGTATAATTGTCTGGGTCGGTTAAAAGGTCTGGTATAAATAGTGTTAGGCTTATTAGAAGTAGGAGTAGAAGGATTAGTCCTAGAATATCTTTAATTGTATAGTATGGATGAAATGTAATTTTGTCAGGGTTAGACGTTATTCCTGATGGGTTGTTTGAACCTGTTTCATGTAAGAACAATAGATGAATAGTCGCTAGTGCTGCGATGATAAAGGGTAAGACAAAGTGGAAGGTAAAAAATCGTGTGAGGGTGGCTTTGTCTACTGAGAAGCCACCTCAAACTCACTCTACGAGGTTGGATCCGATATATGGAATGGCTGATAGGAGGTTTGTAATCACCGTAGCTCCTCATAATGATATTTGGCCTCATGGGAGAACGTAGCCTATGAATGCTGTGGCTATTGTTGTGAGGAGTAGAATTGTACCGATGTTTCAAGTTTCTCGAGAAAGAAAGGATCCGTAGTAGAGGCCTCGTCCAATGTGGAGGAAGAGGCATGTGAAGAATATGGAGGCACCGTTGGCATGCATGTAGCGGATTGTTCATCCGTGGTTTACGTCTCGGGTGATGTGGGCTACTGAGGAGAAGGCTGTCTGAGTGTCTGGGGTGTAGTGTATGGCTAAGAATAGGCCTGTGGTGATTTGAATAATTAGGCAGGCTCCTAAGAGGGAGCCTAAGTTCCATCAGAAAGAAATGTTGGACGGTGTAGGAAGGTCGATAAATGAGTTATTAATCATTTTTTTTAGAGGGTGTGTTTTGCGGGGTGAGGTCATTATGGTTCTTATAGTTGAAGTACAACGATGGTTTTTCATATCATTAGTCATGGTTGTAATCCATGTAAGAATAATGACATACGCTTTATTTTCATTGAGTGTAACTTTAGTAATAGGGTTTGTAGGGTTTTGTTCTAAGCCTTCTCCTATTTACGGGGGGTTGGTGTTAATTTTTAGTGGTGCTGTTGGTTGTGCGATTACGTTATATTTTGGTGGGTCTTATATGGGACTTATGGTTTTTTTAATTTATTTGGGTGGTATAATAGTTGTTTTTGGTTATACTGCGGCTATGGCGATTGATGAGCATCCTGAATCGTGGGTATCAAGTGTTGATATTTTAGGAATGTTTGTGTTGGGTATAATGATAGAGACAATAATGCTTATGGTGTTGGGTGGTGATTATAAGCAAACGGTGGAGGTTACTATGAATTATAAGACTGTAGCTAGTTGAATAATTCATGAGGGAGAAGGGCCAGGATTGATTCGTGAGGATCCGACAGGTGCTGGTGCTTTGTATAATTATGGTGTTTGAGTTGTTTTAGTTACTTGTTGAGCGTTATTTATGGGTATGCATATTGCAATTGAGCTAACTCGGGGTGGAGGTTAGATGGTTAGTAGTAATGCTAGGGTAGGTGTAATTAGGAATGATAGAAAGTATAATTTGATTAGACCCTTTTGGGTAGAAGTGGCTGTGGAGATAGAGCTTTGAGTTTGTGCAGTTATTTTTGGTATGGATTTTTCAAGTCAGAGTAGATCTAGTAAGGCGGAGGCGAAGTTTTGGCTTGTTGCCAGGCTTGAGTGGGGTTTTAGGCGATGAGTAGTGGTTGAGTAAAAGCCTAGTATGTTAGAGAAGTAGTAAGTTTTTATTGGGGTGCTTAATTTTACATTGTTAGTCATGAGGCTAAGTTCTATTGCTAGAAGAAGCCCTAAAGTAGTTGTGCCTAGAGCTGTAAGTTTGATATAGTAGGGCATAGTGATTTGGGGGCATGAGGCAGGAAGGACGCAGTTAGAAATAAGAAACCCAGCGAAGATACTACCCACTGCTAGGCGATTGATTGGGTTTTTTAATAGTGGGTTATTTTCGTTAATTGAAATAAGAGTTGTAAAGCGAGGGTATCCTGTTAGGGTATAAAATATAATACGGATACTGTATATAGCTGTGAGGGAGGTGGCTACAAGGGTAGTCGTTAGGGCTCAGGCGTTGGTATACGACGTGTTGGCGGCTTCGATGATTAGGTCTTTTGAGTAGAAGCCTGCGAGGAAGGGTGTTCCCATGAGTGCAAGACTGCCAATGGTAAGTGATGAGGTGGTGAGGGGCAGGGTTTTGAGCAGTCCGCCTATTTTTCGGATGTCTTGTTCATTATTAAGGCTGTGGATGATGGATCCTGCGCATAGGAATATTATGGCTTTAAAGAAGGCATGGGTGCAGATGTGAAGAAAGGCTAAGTGTGGTTGATTGATCCCGACTGTTACTATTATAAGGCCTAGTTGACTTGAGGTTGAAAAGGCTACGATCTTTTTTATATCATTTTGTGTTAGGGCACAGATTGCTGTGAATAAGGTGGTGATAGCTCCTAGAGATAAGGTGAGTGTTTGAATGAGTGGGTTATTTTCAGTCATAGGGTAGAAGCGAATGATTAAGAAAACGCCGGCGACAACTATAGTGCTGGAATGAAGGAGTGCTGAGACAGGGGTTGGTCCTTCTATGGCAGAGGGTAGTCATGGATGAAGACCAAATTGAGCTGACTTTCCTGTTGCTGCTAGGAGGAGGCTTATTAGGGGGAAGGTGTTGGGGGTAGAATTTAGGATGAATATTTGTTGAAAATCTCATGAGTTAGAGTATAGAATGGATCAAGTTATTGCTAGAATAAGGCCGATATCCCCGATGCGGTTGTATAAGATTGCTTGTAGAGCTGCTGTGTTGGCGTCTGTTCGTCCGTATCATCAACTGATTAGTAGGAAGGATATAATTCCCATTCCTTCCCATCCGATAAAAAGTTGAAATAGGTTATTAGAGGAGATTAAGATTAGTATTGTAATGAGAAAAATGAGTAGGTATTTGAGGAATTGATTTATGTTTGGGTCTGAGCTTATATATCATATTGAGAATTCTACAATTGACCAGGTAACGAATAGTGCTACAGGGGTAAATATAATGGAGAAGAAGTCTATTTTGAAGCTTAGGGATAGTTTGATGGTTTGGATAGTTATTCAGTGTCAGTTTGAAATTATTGATTCTTGGCCTGTAAGGATAAAGAATATTATAGATAAGGTACTGGTAATGAGGGCGTAGATGATGGCTAGTTTTACGTAGTACGGGTATAGTGTGCTTTTGTTAGGGTTAATGAGGGTAGCTAGGATTGGCGCTAGTAGGCTAATTAGTGTTATTAGAGTGATGGAGAAGTGTATTATTACTTTTATTTGGAGTTGCACCAATGTTTTTGGCTCCTAAGACCAATGGATAACTGCTATCCTTTAAAAGTTGAGGAAGCCAAGTTGTTAGTCTTGGGAGCATGAATTAGCAGTTCTTGCGCACTTTCTCGGTAATTAAGAAGTTATATTCTTCTATTATTAGATTCACAATCTAATGTTTTAGCTAAACTATAATTACAAGGTGAGGGTCCTATAATTACCTTGGGGCTCAAGGTAAGGAGGAGGATTGGTGTTATATGTATAAATATTAGCGTATTTTCTCGTGTAAATATTGGTTTTATATTGCTGGTGCTGTATGTAAGTGGACCTCGCTGTGTAGAGGCATACATATGAAGTGAGTAGAGTGCTGTAATTAGTATATTAAGTCCTGTGAATATAATAGTAAAGTTGGATCAAGAGAAGGAAGATACGATTGTGAGTAATTCTCCTACTAGATTAATAGCTGGTGGTAGGGCGAGGTTAGCGAGATTTGCTAGGAGTCATCAGAGGCCTATAAGCGGGAATAGTGTTTGGAGCCCTCGAGTAAATGTTATTGTTCGGCTGTGAATTCGTTCGTAATTTGAGTTTGCTAGGCAGAATAGCATAGACGAAGTAAACCCGTGAGCGATTATTAGGATCATTGCGCCGGTGAAGCTTCAGGGGGTTTGGATAAGGATGGCTAGGATGACGAGTGCTATGTGGCTGACGGAGGAGTAGGCAATAAGTGATTTTAGGTCTGCCTGTCGTAAACAGATTAGGCTTGTTATAGTTATACCTCAAAGGGATAGGATGAGGAAAGGGTAGTTTATTTTTTCTGTTAAGGAATTTAGAATGGGAATAATTCGTATTATGCCATAGCCGCCTAATTTGAGTAAGATTGCTGCGAGCACTATTGAGCCAGCAATTGGGGCTTCAACGTGGGCTTTGGGTAGCCATAGGTGAAGTCCATATAGGGGTATTTTGACTATAAAAGCTATCATGCATCCCAGCCACATGATATTGTTAGTCCAAGAGGGTAGAAGCTCTTTGGTTTTAATTATTATTGTTAATATATTTAGGGAGCCTAGGTTATCTAGGTAAAATAGTAGTGTGATGAGGAGTGGGAGGGACCCTATTAGTGTGTAGAATAGGAAGTATGAGCTAGCATGGAGGCGTTCGGGCTGGTAGCCTCAGCGGGAAATAATAATTAGGGTGGGGACCAAGGTAGTTTCAAATAAGATATAGAATAAGATTAGTTCTGTGGCCGTAAATGTTATGATTAGGGAGATTTGTAGTAGGATCAATATTGAGATATATACTTTTTTTCGGGAGGGGGAATTATGGTAGAGGTGGTGTTGGGTGGCTAGAGTTATCAGTGGTAGTAGTCAGGTTGTTAGGACTAGGAGGGGTGCTGTTAGTGGGTCTGAGAAGGAGATTAGTGATAGATTGTATGGGTTGTTGGGTATATATAGGAGTATAAGGGTAAGGGTGCTAATTAGAAGACTTCAAAGTATTATGTTAATTCATAGTATGTGGTCTTTTGATAGTCATATTATTGGGAATAGTATAGTTGTTGGTAAGATAATTTTTAACATTGTAGAAGGTTTAGATTTTGTACATAATCTAGGCCATACAGGTTGGAGATCAGGACTAGCAAAGCTAGGCCCACTGCGGCCTCACATGCGGCGAACACTAGGAGGGCAATGGGTATTATGTACATTAGTACTAGGTGAAGGTTTAAGGTTATTAGTGTTGTCATGATGAACAGTGATAGTATTATGCCTTCCAAACATAGTAGGGATGATATTAGGTGAGATCGGTAGATTGACAAGCCTAATAAAGATATGAGATATGCTAAGGTAACATTGATGTATATGAAAGGCACTTTGGTGTATATGAGTTATCATAGTCTAATGAGTCGAAATCATTTGTTTTGGTTAAACTATACACCTATTGGGTTCAGTCTAGGCCTTCTTGGGTTCATTCGTAGGCTAGTCCTAATGCAAGAATGATTAGTAGAATTAGAATTACATTAATTGTTAATATTAGGTTATTTGTCTGTATTGTTCATGGTAGGGGCAGTAGTAGGGCAATTTCTAGGTCAAAGAGGAGGAATGTAATGGCGACTAGGAAGAATTTTATGGAGAAGGGCAGGTGTGCAGAGGTGGTAGGGTCGAAGCCACATTCATAGGGATTGTATTTTTCTAGATATAGATTAAATTGGGGGATTCAAAATGTAATAATAATTAGTAGCAGAGTTAATGAAATACTGGTTAGTAGGCTTAATGTGAGGTAAATTACTCTCTCTCGGGTCTGTCGAGGCTCACTGATTGGAAGTCAGTGGTACTGTTTATACTAAGAGAGTAGGATCCTCATCAGTAGATAGAGATATAAAGGAATAGTCATACCACGTCTACGAAGTGTCAGTATCATGCGGCAGCTTCAAAGCCGAAGTGGTGGTTAGGTGTAAAGTGGTGGAGTTGTTGGCGAATGTAGCATATTGTGAGGAAGGTAGTTCCAATAATGACATGGAGTCCGTGGAATCCTGTGGCTATAAAAAATGTAGAGCCGTAAATTCCATCTGAAATGGTAAAGGGGGTTTCTGAGTATTCTGATATTTGCAGCAGGGTGAAATAAATTCCTAGTGCAATTGTTATGGCTAGGGCTTGGGTTGATTCTTTTTGATTAGCTTCTATTAGGCTGTGATGTGTTCAAGTGATTGTGACTCCCGATGCTAACAGTACGGCTGTGTTTAGGAGTGGGACTTCTATTGGGTCAAGGGGTAGAATACCTGTAGGGGGTCAGTGTCCTCCTGTTTGTGGAGTAGGAGCTAGGCTGGAGTGGTAGAATGCTCAGAAGAAGCCGGCGAAAAAGAATACTTCTGAAATGATAAATAAAATTATTCCGTATCGAAGGCCTTTTTGAACGGGCGGAGTATGGTGACCTTGATATGTGCTTTCTCGTACAACATCACGTCATCATTGGAATATTGTGGCTATGCTGGCTAGTAAACCGGCGGTTAGGAGAAGGGTGAGGTAGAAGTGGAATCATATAATTAGGCCGGAAGTTAATAGGAAGGCAGAGAGAGCTCCTGTTAGTGGTCAGGGGCTTGGGTTAACTATGTGGTAGGGATGTGTTTGGTGGGTCATTATGAATTGTTGTGTAGGTAAAGACTGACTAGAAGTGTGAAGACGTAAGCTTGGATTAGGGCTACGCCTAATTCTAGGGTAATTAGTAAGATAATGACGATAATAGTAGCTAGAGAGGAAGAGAGGTAAATAGATAGAAGGGTGAGTGAAGCAGTCCCTAATAGGTGTATTAGTAGGTGACCTGCTGTAATGTTTGCTGTTAGCCGTACTGCTAGTGCTACTGGTTGAATAAAGAGGCTAATGGTTTCAATGATGATGAGCATGGGAATGAGTAGAGTTGGTGTTCCTTGGGGCAGAAAGTGAGCAAGGGATGTTTTTGTTTTAAGTCGAAGTCCTATAAGTACGGTTGCTATTCATAGTGGGATTGCTATACCAATATTTATTGATAGTTGAGTGGTGGGTGTAAATGCGTAGGGTGTGAGTCCAAGAAGGTTATTTAAGGAAATAAAGGTAATTAGGGTTAGGAGTATTAGAGATCAGGTTCGTCCTGTAGTAGAATGGGTGATTATTATTTGTTTTAGTGTGAGCTGGACTAGTCATTGTTGAATGGATGAGAATCGGTTGTTGATAGTGTTGTTAGGGGGTAAGATTAGTATGGAGGGAAATATAATAATTAGTACTGCTAGGGGTATTCCTAGGACTACTGGGATATTAAAGATGGTGAATAAGTTTTGGGTCATTTTGATTTTCAGGTTGTTTTATGTTCTTTTGTTTTAATTGATTTAAATAGTGGATTGGTGTAGGAGATGAAATTTAGCATTTTTAGTTGGGTAATATAGAAGAGGGTTACGATTATTGATAAGATCACCATTGGTCATGGTGAGGTGTCTAGTTGAGGCATTCACTGTAGAGAATAGGTTTTCTCGGTCTTTAACTTAAAAGGTTAATGCTAGATAGCTTTACAGTGATACAATATATAAGTATGAGGCTCATACTTCGAAGTCTTGGAAGTAGATAAATTCTAGGACGATAGGCATAAAGCTATGATTTGATCCGCAGATTTCTGAGCATTGCCCATAGAATAGTCCTGGTCGTATAGAGGCTAGTGTAATTTGATTTAGGCGTCCTGGGATTGCATCTGTTTTAACGCCCAGTGAGGGGACAGCTCATGAGTGTAAGACGTCGTGTGATGAGACTAATATGCGGATGTCTGCTTCTATTGGGAGGGTTGTTCGGTTATCTACTTCAAGAAGTCGAAATTCGCCTGGTTCTAGAAAGTATGTTGGTATAATGTAGGAGTCGAAGGCTAGATCTTCGTAGTCTGAGTATTCATAGCTTCAATATCATTGGTGGCCGATTGCTTTTAGGGTCAGGTAGGGCTTAATAAATTCATCAGTTATGTATAAGATACGTAGGGATGGGAGAGCGATTATGATAAGGATAATTGCAGGTAAGATGGTTCAGATTATCTCAATCTCTTGAGCATTTATAGTGCTAGTGTGGGTTAATTTTGTAGTAAGCATTAGAGACATAATATATAAGACTAGTGAGCTAATTAGGAAAATAATTATGAGGGCGTGGTCGTGAAAGGCGATAAGTTCTTCTATAATAGGGGATGTAGCGTTTTGTAGGCCTAGCTGGGCTGGTGTTGCCATTAAGATATATAGATTTTTGGTCTATAATTTAACTTTGACAAAGTTATGTAATTGTTTTACTAATATCTTGTTGAAAAAGTCATAGGGTCTATGGGATTGGCTTGAAACCAATTTTTGGGGGTTCAAATCCTTCCTTTTTCGTCTAAAGTTTTACATAGGTAGACTCCTCAAATGTGTGGTAGGGGGGAGGGCAGCCGTAGAGTCATTCTAGGTTGGTAGATGTTTGTTCAATAACTAGAACTTTTCGCTTTGAGGAGAAGGCTTCTCAAATTATAAAAATTATTAGAATTACTGCTACTAATGAAATGAATGAGCCCACAGATGAGATAATGTTTCATGTAGTGTATGCATCAGGATAGTCTGAGTATCGTCGGGGTATTCCTGATAGACCGAGAAAGTGTTGTGGGAAGAAAGTTATATTAACGCCTACGAATATAATGGTAAAATGAATTTTAGCATAGGTTTGGTCAAGTGTGTAGCCCGAGAATAATGGGAACCAGTGAATAAAGCCTCCCATAATAGCAAAGACTGCTCCCATTGATAGGACGTAGTGGAAGTGAGCTACCACATAGTACGTATCATGTAAGACGATATCTAATGATGAGTTAGCTAATACAATTCCTGTTAGCCCGCCTACGGTAAAGAGAAAGATAAACCCGAGAGCTCATAGTATAGCGGCGGATCATTTGATATTTCCTCCGTGCAGTGTAGCTAGTCAGCTGAATACTTTTACTCCGGTGGGAATGGCGATGATTATAGTGGCTGATGTGAAATATGCCCGGGTGTCCACATCTATTCCTACTGTGAATATGTGGTGAGCCCATACGATAAAGCCTAAAAAGCCGATGGATATTATAGCTCATACTATCCCCATATATCCGAATGGTTCTTTTTTGTTGGAGTAGTATGTAACAATGTGAGAGATCATGCCAAAGCCAGGAAGGATGAGGATGTATACTTCAGGATGTCCAAAAAATCAGAATAAATGTTGGTAAAGAATAGGGTCGCCTCCCCCAGCTGGGTCGAAGAAGGAGGTGTTAAGATTGCGATCAGTTAGGAGTATTGTGATTCCGGCAGCTAGGACTGGGAGTGAGAGGAGTAGGAGGACTGCTGTAATGAATACAGATCAGACAAATAGGGGTGTCTGATATTGACTCATCGCTGGTGGTTTTATATTAATAATTGTTGTAATAAAATTAATTGCCCCTAGAATAGAGGAAATACCGGCTAGGTGGAGTGAAAAGATAGTGAGGTCCACGGAGGGCCCTGGGTGTGATATATTCCCTGCTAGAGGGGGATAGACAGTTCACCCAGTCCCTGCGCCAGCTTCTAGAGTTGAGGATGCGAGTAAGAGAAGGAGTGATGGGGGTAGGAGTCAGAAACTTATGTTATTTATTCGAGGAAATGCTATGTCGGGAGCACCAATTATTAGCGGGATGAGTCAGTTTCCAAAACCTCCAATTATGATGGGTATTACTATAAAGAAAATTATAATGAATGCATGGGCGGTGACAATAACGTTGAAAATGTGATCGTCTTCTATGAGACTCCCTGGTTGACCTAGCTCTGCACGAATTAGGAGGCTCAGGGCAGTTCCTACTGCTCCAGCTCACGCACCAAATAATAAATATAAGGTTCCAATATCTTTGTGATTAGTTGAGAATAGTCAGCGGCTTATGAACATGGGTGGGTAAAATGGCTGAGTAAGCATTAGACTGTAAATCTAAAGACAGAGGAGTAACCCCTCTTTTTACCAGCTCCGAGGTGGATTCTCATGTTGAATTGCAAGTTCAAAGAAGCAGCTTCAATGCTGCCGGGGCTTCTCCCGCCTTTTTTCCCCTAGAGGCGGGAGAAGTAGATTGAAGCCAGTTGTTTAGGTTATTTAGCTGTTAACTAAATTTTTGTGGGTTAAAGTCCCATCAATCTAGGAAGGGCTTAGCTTAATTAAAGTGTTTGATTTGCGTTCAATTGATGCAAAGTAGAATTTGCAGTCCTTAGATCTATCAGAAATTAAGTAATTCTTACTTACTGAGGGCTTTGAAGGCTCTTGGTCTTATTAACCTAAATTTCTATATTAATAGTATTAGTGGTATTGTTGGGAGTAAGAATATAGATGAGACTATAAGTGGAGCTATAAGTGGTGTTAGTTTTATATGTTTTAATTGTCAGTTGATTTTTGTGTTGTTAGATGTAGGAAATATTGTCATTGAAATGGAGTATGTTAGGCGCATATAGAAGTAAAGATTTATTAGTGTTAGTATAGCGATGGTGAGGGGGAGGGTGGGGTTACTGTTTTTTGTAAGTTCTTGTATGATAGCTCATTTAGGGGAAAAGCCTGTTAGTGGGGGTAGGCCTCCTAGGGATATTATCATTATTGGGAATATGGGTATTATTCATGTGAATTTATTTCAGGTGTGGGATAGTGATAGGGCTGTTATGTTTGAGTTTAGATTAAAGATTAAGAGTATAGGGATTGTTAGTAGGATGTAGATTAGGAGGTTTAGTATGGTAATGTTTGGGTCGTGGAATAATACTGCTATTATTCATCCTATATGAGTGATTGATGAGTAGGCCAGGATTTTGCGCAGTTGTGTTTGGTTGAGTCCTCCTCAGCTGCCAACTATAATTGATAGAATTGAGATTGTTAGTAGGATGTTTAGGTTTATTGAAGGATAGATTTGAGTAATAATTGACATGGGGGCTAGTTTCTGTCATGTGAGGATTAGTATGGTGGGAGCTAGGGGAATGCCTTGAGTTACTTCTGGAAGTCAAAAGTGGAGGGGAGCTATCCCTAGTTTTATTATCAGGGCAATTAATATTGTTGTGGATAGGGTTTGATGGAGGAAGGGGTTGATTGTTCATTGTCCTGAGGAGAGATAGTTGAGGAGGGTAGTTATTAAGAAGATTATGGATGCGGTTGCTTGTACTAGAAAGTATTTGGTGGATGCTTCTGTGGATCGGGGATTTGTACTTTTGGCTAGTGTTGGTACGATAGCTAGTATATTTAGTTCTAGGCCTATTCAAATTAGGAATCAGTGGGAGCTAAATATTGCAATTATTGTCCCTATTAGGATTGTAAGGGAAATGAAGAGGTGAGCGATGGGGTTAATGTTAGTACGGGAAGGGTTTAACCAACATTTTCGGGGTATGGGCCCGATAGCTTATTTAGCTGACCTTACTGGTTAGAATGTGGTGTAATAGGTAGCACGGAGATTTTTGATTTCTCAGGCACGGGTTCGATTCCTGTAGTTCTAGAAATAAGAGGGTTGGGACCTCTATAATTTACTCTATCAAAGTAACTCTTTTGTCAGACATATTTCTTATGTTTGGGGTGGGATGCTGGATGTTAGGGTAGGTAGTGAGATGTATCACATACATAGGGCTAATGTAAGTGGTAGGAACTTTTTTCATAGAAGATGTATTAGTTGATCGTAGCGAAGTCGTGGGTATGCGGTACGGATTCATAGGAATAAGGCAGTTAATAGGAGAGTTTTGATTATAAAGTTTGTTGTGTAAGATTCTGGGAGGGCTGTATTGTGGGGGGTTGCTATGAAGATGGTAGTAGTTAGGGCATTTATTATAATGATATTTATATATTCTGCTATGAAGAATAGAGCAAAAGAGCCAGCAGCATACTCAATATTAAATCCTGAGACTAGTTCTGATTCGCCTTCTGTTAGGTCGAAGGGGGCTCGGTTAGTTTCTGCTAGTGTGGAGATAAATCATATTGTAGTAAGGGGTCATGCTGGAAGTAGGAGTCAGGAATGTTCTTGTGTTGTAATTAATGAGTGGATGTTAAATGAACCGCTTATTAGTAGGGTTGATAGTAGGATAATGGCTAAAGTGACTTCGTAGGAGATTGTTTGGGCTACGGCTCGTAGTGCACCAATTAGTGCATAGTTTGAATTGGATGCTCACCCAGACCATAGGATTGAATAAACGGCTAAGCTTGATGTTGCAAGTACAAATAAGAGGCCTAGGTTGAAGTTGACAAGGGGATGCGGTATAGGTAGCGGAGTTCATAGGATAAGGGCAACTGAAAGGGCTAGAATAGGGGCAATTACGTATAGAGTTGTGGTGGATGTTGTAGGAAGTAGGGGTTCTTTAGTGAAAAGTTTTATTGCATCAGCAATAGGTTGGAGTATTCCATATGGGCCGATGGTGTTAGGGCCTTTGCGAAGTTGTATGTAGCCTAAAATTTTTCGTTCTGTAAGTGTCAAGAAGGCCATGGCGATTAGGGCGGGGATAATTAGTAGAAGTAGGTTAATTATGAACACGTTGTTAAGAAGAGGAGTTGAACCTCTGGTTATAAAGTTTTAAGTTTTATGCAATTACCGGGCTCTGCCATCTTAACTAGCCCTTGTTCTTGGGTGAGGGTAATAGTTCGTTGATTGAGATAGGAATCATCTGATTTATGAGGGCGCTTTGTTAAGTGGGCTCTATTTCTCTTGTCCTTTCGTACTGGGAGGAATATTTAATAGATAGAAACCGACCTGGATTTCTCCGGTCTGAACTCAGATCACGTAAGACTTTAATCGTTGAACAAACGAACCATTAATAGCGGCTGCACCATTGGGATGTCTTGATCCAACATCGAGGTCGTAAACCCTATTGTCGATACGGACTCTAAAATAGGATTGCGCTGTTATCCCTAGGGTAACTTGGTCCATTGATCAAGTTATTGGATCAATAGGGGCAGGTTTACTTAGACTAGTGAGGTCTTGGTATGTGTTTTTCGGGGGTTGTGTTATGCTCCGAGGTCACCCCAACCGAAATTCATAGTACATTGATGATAAGTTAGTGCCTGTAGGTTTTTAGTATATTGGTTTGTACTATTAAATTGAAGCTCCATAGGGTCTTCTCGTCTTATTTGTATATATCCGCCTCTTCACGGATAGGTCAATTTCACTGATTAGAAGTAAGAGACAGTTAAACCCTCGTGTGGCCATTCATACAAGTCCTTATTTAGAGAACAAGTGATTATGCTACCTTTGCACGGTTAGGGTACCGCGGCCGTTGAACATAGGTCACTGGGCAGGCAGTGCCTCTAATATTAGTAATGCTAGAGGTGATGTTTTTGGTAAACAGGCGGGGGTAGAGTTTGCCGAGTTCCTTTTACTTTTTTTAATCTTTCCTTAGTGCATGCCTGTGTTGGGTTAACAGTTAGGGTAATAGTGTGTTAGGTTGTAGGGTTCTGTGGTTTAGCTGTTAACTAACGGTAATTGTTTTGGTCTGAGATAAGCTTATGCAGGGAGAATAATTTCATGTTACTCATACTAACATTATTGCTTCTATTAGTTAATAGATTAGTCCAATGTGTAATAGGAGTTCGGTAATATGTATAGGATTAAGAGTTGTTGTATGTTGAGCTTAAACGCTTTCTTAATTGATGGCTGCTTCTAGGCCAACTGTAGTGGTGAAGTGTCTTACTCTCTATGTTAAGGTTGTTCTCTTTGGTCTAAAGAGCTGTTCCTCTTTAGACTAACAGTTAAACTTACGAGGGGACTGGGTATTTCTATAGGTAAGTTTAAAGCTGAACTAAAATTCTGTCTTGGACAACCAGCTATCACCAGGCTCGATAGGTTTGTCGCCTCTACCCATAGATTTTCCCACTATTTTGCTACATAGACGGGTGTGCTCTTTCAGCTATCTTTGGGTAGCTCGTCTGGTTTCGGGGGGCGTTGTTGAAGTTCTCTATATAAGGCCATATCTAGTTAATTCATTATGCAGAAGGTAGAAGGGCTTATCTTTGCTTTTTTATGCCTATGAGGTTGTCTTTCCCTTGCGGTACTATATCTATTGCTCCTAAGGTAAAATTTCTATCGCCTATACTCTTATAAAGGGTAAATGGTTTGATTAATGTATTTATATAGTAAAGTTGGATAGGATTTGGGCTAGGGTTGGCTCAAAGTGATCAATTATTTTGAGATCTTCCGGGTGTAGGCCGGGTGCTTTGTTTTAAGCTACACTTTGATTAGTCCAAGCGCACTTTCCAGTACGCTTACCATGTTACGACTTATCCCCTCTACATCAGTGTTTAGTGGCTTAGTTGTTAATGTACTTTGTGTGATGGTTGAGGAGGGTGACGGGCGGTGTGTGCGTGCTTAATGGCCTTGCTTCAATCAAGCTCTCTATTCTTGGTTTACTGCTAAATCCACCTTGTACCCTTAGGTTTCATAAGGGGTTTCGTGTAATTTTCTAGTTTAGAAAATGTAGCCCATTTCTTCCCACTTCATAGGCTGCACCTTGACCTAACGTTTTTATGATGATACTCCTGCTTACTTTGCGATCTTTAGGGAGTTTGCTGAAGGTGGCGGTATACAGGCTGGGGGCAAGAGGTGGTAAGGTATATCGGGGTTTATCGATTATAGAACAGGCTCCTCTAGACGGATGTAAAGCACCGCCAGGTCCTTTGAGTTTCAAGCTGTTGCTTGTAGTGTTCTGGCGAATAATTTTGTTGTTAGAATTATTAAGGTTTAGGGCTAAGCATAGTGGGGTATCTAATCCCAGTTTGTACCTTAGCTATAGTGTATTCAGGTTATTAAAGCCACTTTCGTAGGGTATTTTACTGTAACCGGGGTTTTTTACAACTTGGTTATAGGTCAGCTTTATTGACGTGAAATCTTAAACACTCTTTACGCCGGGCTTTATTAACTTGAGTCAATCGTATGGCCGCGGTGGCTGGCACGAAATTGACCGACTCTGATAATCAGCGTAGCTTAGTTGAACTTTCGTTCATTGCTAAAAGTTTGTCACTGCTGTCTCCCGTGGGGGTGTGGCTAAGCAAAGCGTCTTGAGCTGCATATGTGCGTGCTTGATGCTCACTCCTCATGTTCTGGCGTTCTAGAGGGCATTTTCACAGGGCTGTGGATACTTGCATGTGTAATCTCGCTGAGAGCTAATAGAAAGGCTAGGACCAAACCTTTGTGTTTATGGGGTGATAGTAGCCCTTCTAGACATTTTCAGTGTCTTGCTTTAAACATTAAGCTACATGAAC